TTATCTGTGTGGTTTCTGACAAAGGAACGTTAGTGAACGATGATTTAACGTCAAAGCTGGTCATTCACGAAATCCAAAGTGTTGGCAGAGGTGTACTCATTAGTGCTTAAGGGTAGGATAATTTAGACTAGGAATTTAGCAAGATTATGACTAAATGTTTTAATTGAGGATACGATAGGCCTAAGGGCTGTACCTATCTTGTGAACTTTGGGGAGGCCATACAAACATCTGGGTCTAGAACCAGAAGCAAAATGGAATTATTTGTGGTTTCGTTGACGGTTTCTTTCAGAGGTTGTAAGATTTAATTTATCAAGTTTGAGGAGGTGGCTGGCCAGGTCGGCATTTAGGAGTTTGAATTTAGAAAGGCATTTAAAATCAAAGAAACTAACTTTTGATTTTATGTCAAGGACATGGTTATTAGTAGTGTTCCTTAGTTTTTTTTTTCTTAAGTTTTCTGCTTTGTCTTTTAATTTCACAGTCAAGTATGAAAAGCCATGATTTATTGATGTTTGTTGAAAGGAAGGACTTTTCATATAGTTTGAATTTGAGGAAATTCTACTGCGGTTTACATAAAACATACTCTCATTGGTTTTGGAAATATTTAAGTTTCTCACCCATGAAGGATATCATCATTCTTGTTAATAGATCATTTAACATATGCTTCACCAGGATCCATTTTGACAAGGAATTTAATTATTTAAAAAACAATGATACCCTGACTTTTTCTGTTACAAAACTCTTAGCTCATTCTTAGACAATAAATTATACGGAGAATACTTGAACATATGGTTAATTCTACCTCTGAGCAGATCTTTCTGAGCTGCCCACGCAGATCATCATTTCACGCACAATGATTTCAAAATACTGTACTCAACATCTAACAAAATCGACCATATCATCTCAGAATCTCTGTACATCCACAAGATGAAATCCGATCTCAATATCAATACAGCCATTCAATTGTTTACGGTGTAATGCAATAACCGTAACAAGCAGTTCTCACTTGTTTAGGTAACATTAAGTATTGTTTATTTTAAGAACTGTTTTTATCGTTGTTTCTTTTTTTATGTTTTCATTTTCATTATTTCTAGTATGAATCTTCGAAACATGATGTAATAATCAAGATATTTAACACAACCCTGGTTCTACTCTTCATTCTGTATGTATATATACTTATATTTACATGCATATACATACACATATATGTATATGCACATATATATACATACTCATATGTATAAGACAACAGAGAGTGAAGGAAGTGTGTTTTTTTAGAGAGAAAAGAGAGAGAGAAAGTATGTTTTTTGTGTAGAAGCATATATTCAGTATATTTATTTATTTAATGCTAATCTTACGTTCCTCAGGTACATGCTTAGTTCTTTTTTATTCAGAAATTAACTCTGATATTTCGATATGATATCTTTCCCATATTATAAATTCCTGTTTTTTTGTGTTCTGTACATTCCTTTATTTTACCTTGTCAAAAGCGGCAATGTTTTTTTTGCGAGTACATAAACATTCAAAACCCATTTTTGTCTATCTGGTTCAGAACTTAAGTATTTTTTGGTACTTTATTTTTTTCACTTAATTCGAGTCTTGAATTTCCCCCTTTCCGTTTTTGTTCATACTAAGTGCATACGTCATGATTATCTCACACAATGTACACATAATTTCTAGACCTGTTTTACTAAATTATTCACAAATACACAGTTGTTCCTTATCATCTAAAATTATTTCTAACCAAAGCTCTTCACTTTCTTATAACATATACTGGATTTGAATATAAAATATAATCACATGATTCAGTTTCAAAAAAATCTTTCCTCTTTTTTTCAGTCGAAGGCAAATCTGCATGAAGAAATCTACATATAACAAGGATGATAAAACCGGGATACATGGGCTATCAAAATTTATTTCAGCTCATACTGAACATAAATGTATATGTACAATACATGTCCATTTTAATGTAAAAAAAGATTACTCGCCTTGACTATGTACGCAACAATTACGGGTTTCTTTATTAGGGCGTCAGTTCTTGCAAGAGACGTTTTTTAAAAAAAAGTAAATCGCCAATCAAAAGAAAAAGCCTGAATGAAAAAAGAAGATAAAAAAAGCATAGAAAGTATAACGTCTAACCTCATATTACTCTGAAGTGATATTTAATAAACACAATTCACGTTAATTAACCGATTTCTAAAACGGAATCTCGCTGCCGCCGCTTCCAGCACGGCCTAGCTTCGAGGGCTCCAGAAATTAGGAAATATTCTTTGAAACTAAAAACTAAAAAACAATACCCTGCTAATTGCTTAATCAATTAATCCAAGTGAAGTTCTTAGTTGATTACATAGAGTTCTTACTTCAAGGTGTGCTATAAAATTATCTAGCAGATGAAATAGATCTTTAATTAACTCATTAATCAGTAATTAAAATAAACAATATAAGTCTCAAGGCAAAGAGTAAAGTGGCCAGCGACGCGAAACAATAAAGAATAAAAACAAAC